CTACGCAGACAGCCAAATGTCGTGACGGCGCCACAAATGTCTCAAGTTGGCAAATGCCAATCGAGCCTTCTGTCTGCGAGCTGACACTTCATCCGTGATGCGTCCACCGAGTGAAATGCAGCTGCCTATATGACAAAACTTATCCACTTTCTCTATTCCTCAGGGTGAGGCTGATTGTTGGAAATAACATTTTAAACTTTGAAGGTGCAAAACGTATACCGAACCTGGCTACACAGGCACTCAAACTATCCAGAAATGCTTGCAACTTGAATGGATCTTCGTATACGTAATTTAGATCAGGCAGTCTGCCACATCGGAGTAAATCGAAACCACTATTCTCGCACGAGGATTGGGCTGTTTCCATAATCAGATCTATAACAGAGTAAACAAGGAAAGGAGAGAGGGCAAACCTGAAAAACCACTTTCGGTAGTGAACTGGGTCGAAAAAGTGCTGTAAGCCCGGACTCGGTATCGGCTATTTGTATAGAGGGATCGTAATATTGAAATTAACTTCTCGGGCACATCTTTCAGAGAAAGGCAGCACCAGAGTTTCGAGCGGTCGACGAAGTCGAATGCCGCTTTCCGGTCCAGGAAGACAGGTCGTGGGTCTACGAAAGGAATGTCGGTGCTCCAGAGTTTGGCGAAGAGTGAAGATGTGGTCGGTACAATCGCGACCAGGTCAAAAGCTAGCCTAATTCTCACGGGTGCACTGTTGACTTCGGCAGATATTCGACGGAGTATGGTGACAGCGTGAAGTTTTGAGACAATGTTAATTGAACTAATTTCTCTCTGGTTTTCACAAGAGGATCTGTCGCCTTTCTTGTAAATCGGTATGATGACCAATTCACAGCGTTCAGATGGAACCTGTTCTTCCTCGCACACTGAGCCCAGGAGCTTTGTCAACTCCTGGATTAAGACTGACCTCCATCCTTAAAAACAGATGGGGACGGCTCCTTCTGGGCTGGACGCCTTATGCCTTTTGAGATAACCTTTTTCCCGAGAAACCTCCATTTCAGATTAAGGACTGGCATCCATTGGAAGTATTTGCCCAGTCGAGCTCTAGGGTGATAACTCAGATGTCGATGGTGGCCAGTTGAACTGAGGGTTGTAATGTTCAGCCCAACGGTCGAGACGGCGTTGTTGATCATGAATCAGTGTGCCATCGGATTCTCTAATTACCTCGCTGCCGCGTTTTTTCCCAGGGCCAGTATTCCTAATTAGACGGAGAAGATTGTGACTATTACCAATAGCCGCGGTATTGTCGGTATCCGTTGCTGGTGGTTTTCTTGTGGTTGTTTGTCAGGCGTAGAGCGAAATTGGCTGGTAG